TTCATAGCCTTTTGTCTCCCCAAGTAGCTGGTTTGAGTGCCCTCTGACCTGCAAATCTCATTTTCTAGCACTATCTGTTGCTTCATTTTGGATTGCTCCATTGCAAGATTTTTAAGTTAAGAAACATTCAGAGATTGTGCCTTCTTCTGCACAGTTCTAACTAGAATTAGTCTGAGCATCACTGCTGTTGCTTGTGAAAGATCCTTCACCAGTGTCACCTTATTTTACCGCTGTTGCCCAGTAGCTGCTCTTCAGGAGTTTCTCCACTCCCAGCCCCTTAGAGATTGCTCTCAGCTGGTCTGACACCCCCAAACCCCTTCATCATGTACTTGAGGATGAGACTGGAGGACACCTTGCAGACAAAGAACTAAAGGAGCTCCCTGTGAAATGTGAGCAAGAGGCTGGAGATGAAGCCTCTTGCTTACCCTGCACAGGAACCAATGATATCAAGGCCTACACAAACAAGAAGAACTGTAGTTCCGGGAGACTCCCTGCTGCATGGAATGGGAACCCATGTATGCCACGGAGACACATGGACATGTCAGATACGCTACTCTCTGGAAGACAGATTAGAGATGTGACTGAAGGATTGCCAATGCTCATGAATCCCACAGACACATATCCCTTTTTTCTCATCCTTGCAGGGAAAAAGGGATGCCAGCAAGTGTTGCTCTGAAGAAATCACATCAGACTTTGATGTGGCAAGGAAACTGAAGAACATTGAGGCTCAAATTCATCCACCATCCATCATTCCAATACTTGGAAGACAACTAGAAAGGGGATGAAAAATACTCTAGGTGAATGCCTAACTATGAAGGTGGTGCAGATATGAGGGATTTGGATTCTGGGACAGGGGGCTACATTTCCTGGAAGGAGGACTGCCGGCAGGGGGCGAGTAGAAGCTCACAAGGATTGGAAAGAAATGTGTTTGACCACAGAATGAAGGTCTTCACTAGGAGGGCTTCAAAGTGAATCCTGCTGGGGAGGGAGAAGTAAACCTGGGGGTAAAATTGAACCAATATTTATGTACCACCGTAGGGAACGCAGCTACAGTAATATCCAATAATGGTCTTCCAAAAATAGTGGAAGAAAGCTGGAGTATAACGCATTTAGTCTTCAATGTCTATACACTAATATCTAGAGTATGGGAAACAAACAGCACAAACTAGAACTCTTAAGGAGGACGGATATGATTTGATAGGTATAACTGAAACATGGTGGGATGAATCTCATGACTGAAGTTCAGCAATCAAGAAGAACAGAAGGAAGAGAAAGGGAGAATGTCATGCTTCACATTAAGGATACATGTCACTACACAGAAATGCAAGATGTCAAGCTTAGTAGCCCCATCAAGAGGATCTAGATGAAAATAAATGACACAAAAAATAAAAGAAACATGGAGGTTAGAGTCTACTACTGACCTCCTAGTGAAACTTCTGAAAAGCAAACTGACAGTATACCAAGGCTACACGATAGGAGCATAAGAAAAGCTGTGCTGCACCAGGCCAAATGTCTATCTAGTCCAGCACTCCACACACATGTTGGCAATCCAGTTGCCTGCAGGATCCCTCAAGCAGGATGGGTGCAAGACCTCTGCCTGCCCAAGCTCCTCAGCCCTTGATGTATGCAGCTGGCCAGAGGAAGCACACAGACAGCAAGGCTAGCAGCCACTGATAGCCTCCTCCCTTGTGAATCTATCCAATCTCTTTTTAAAGTCATCCAGATTGGCAGCCATCACCACTTTCCACGGCAACAAATTCCAGTTTAACTATATGCTGTATGAAAAAATACTGCCTTTTATCCGTCCTAAACCTCCCATAAATCAGCTTTATGCAAGTCTGACTGTTACAGAAGATGAAGAAAAATGTCTCCCTCTCTGCTTTCTCCCCACCATGTATTATTTTAAATGTCTCTATCATGTCTCTGCTTACTTGCCTTCTTTATAAGCTGAATGTTGCGCTCCTCATAGGAAGCTGCTCCAACCCCCTAATCATTTTTGTGGCTCCTCCCTGCACTTTTTCCAACTCAACAATGTCCTTTTGTTGAGCAGAGCAGACCTAAACACAATATTCCAAGTCTGGTTGCACCTAGGGTTTATATGAGGGAAGTAAAATTTTGGCAGTTCTATTTTCTTTTCCATTCCTAATGATACAGTAGTAATGGGAGATTTCAATTTCCCCAACATCTGTTGGGAGACAAATTCTGCCAAACACGCCTGCTGCAAGAAATTACTGACTTATGTTGCTGAAAACTTCCTCCTACAGAAAGTGGGGGAAGAAACTAGAGGATTGGCTTTTCTAAGAGAAAAGTGATCTCAGATTCATAAGACTGTAAAAAACAATCTAAAAGCATGGTTACAAATGCCAAGAAAAAATGGTTGCAGACAAGAGAAAAAGCCAATATGGTTTCACAAAAAAACTTTGAGATGACCTGAAAACTAGAACAAGGACAAGTATAAGAAGTGAAAGGAAGGCCAGCCTACAAAAGGAGAGCAGGGAATTATAGGGAAGGCTAAAGCTGAGAATGAGCCAAGGTTAGTAAGAGATGCTAAAAGCAACAAAAAAGCCCTCTTCAGCTTCATTGCATAGAAGAAGACAGAGGAAAAAGGGGTGGTTCAACTACTCAGTAAGGATGACAAAATGATAACAGATGACAAACAAAAGGCAGAATTACTCAATTTCTACCTTGCCTCAGTCTTCTGTCAAAAGAGGGTCTATGGCCTCCTGGGGAAACTTGAAAAACAAGTCGAAACAGCAGGAGATTGGCTGGCAAAGGGTCAAGGAACACTGCATTATTTTGAACAAGTTCATATTACCATGCCCTGATGAACTCAATCTGGAGTAACAAAAGAACTGGCAGAAGAACTGGCAGTCTTTGAGAAATTGTGGAGGGCGGACAAAGTGTCAGATGATTGAAAGAGAGCAAATATTGTCCCTGTCTCAAAAAGTCAAGAAAAGGAGGAACCTAGGAAATACAGACCTCTCTGACATCAATCCCTGGGAAAATTCTGGAGCATATTATAAAGCAATGAATCTGCAAACACCTTGAAAACAATGCAATGATTACAAGAAGTCAACATGGATTCCTCAAGCACAAATCCTGTCATTTGATTGGATCCTACTTTTTTGACTGGGAAACCTCCCTGGTGGACTATGGATATCCCATGGACATGATTTATCTTAATTTCAGCAGAGCTTTTAACAACATGCCCCTATCAGGATATCCTGATTAGCAAACTAGCTAAAAGTGGGCTAGATGGATCCACAGTTGGCTACAGAATCAGACTGAAAAAGTACATATCAGTTGTACCTTCTCTAAAGTGGGAGAGGTAACGAGAGGGGTATTGCAGGTACAGTCCCAGGACCAGTGTCATTCAACATTTTTACCACTGATTTGGACGAGGGTTTTGCAGATGACACAAAATTGGGTGGGATAGCTAATACCCTGGATGGCAGAAACAAAATTCAAAGTGAACACAAGCATTTAAAGCACTGAACTGTGGGGGGCAGGGAGAGAGAGACAGAATGAAATATAATGCCAGGTTCTGCCCCTAAGAAAAGGATGCCAAAGGGAGGGGATACAGAATGGGGAATGCTGAGTTCAAAAACACTACCTGTGAGAACAATCTTGTATTTGTTGTAGACACCAGGGGAATATGCTGCAAAGAAAGACTAATGGTATTTGGGTCTGCATAAATAGAAGGATTATTTCCAGATCACATGAAATACTAGTTCCCCTTTACTCAGCACTGATTAGGCCTCATCTGGAGTACTGCATCCAGTTTTAGGCACCACAGTTTAAGAAAGACCAGACAAACTAGAAAAAGTTCAGAGAAGACCAACCAAGATGATCAGGATATTGCAAGCAAAACCCTATGAGGAGAGACTGGATAAAATGAGCAGGGTTAGTCTTGAGAAAAGAAGGAAGAGGGAGATACAATAGCACTCTTCAATTACTTGAAAAGGTTGTCACCCAGAGAGCCAGTGTCCCTTCACAATCATCCCAGAGTGCAGGACACAGAATAATGAGCTCAAGTTATTGGAAGTTACTTTCCAGCTGAAAACAGAAAAAACTTACTGACTTTTTAAGCAACTCAACAATGGAATCTGTTACCTAGGGAAGCTGTGGGCCCTCCCACACTGGAAACATTCAAGATGCAGCTGGACAGCTGTCTGAGAGGGATGGTTTAACCTGGAGTCCTGCATGGAACAATATGTTGAAGCTGAAGGCCTTATTGGCCCCTTTGAACCCTGCTGTTCTATGATTCATTATGGAAACATTAACAAATCTAACTAGCTCCTCAACAGAAAATTAAGGTGGTTTGCATGTAACATGACCATTAAATTACTGCCATTTCACAAGGTAAGAAATTAGCAAGTATTTAAATAGCTGAGATTAACTGCCAAGTTCTCCAATAATGAACTGAATGCTAGTTTACAAGCCAAAAGGATTTATGCAGGCATCCCAGTACTTAAGATGCTCCTGCATGAGCAGCTATGATGAGACAGGCGTTCAAATAAGACTTCTATGCATGTATTTCCACCTTTCTACCAAAGAAGGGCCCTGAAAGCAGCTCACAATCATAAATACAACTTGATTAAAGCTTTTGATTTTGCTTATTAACAAAACCTGCATCCAGTCTAGCAGACCCCACTTTGCAGAGGATTTGCACAGCCAGTCAGAACACAGTGACTGCCAACACATTCCTGTCAGATTCTTATGAGATTACTTCAATATTCAGGCAGAAAAGGTCATTTTAAATATGAATACCAGAACAGCTTGCCTCATGCACTCCATGACAAAACTCGCTCTTGCTCTGTGTGTGTGTCTTTAGTGTGAGTGTGAGGATGGGGATGAGAGTGCAAACAGGAGGACATGAGAAGGACCAGACAAGCTTCTTTCTTTAACAGCAGTTGCTCAACAACACTGGAGCAGGGGCTCCAAAGTTATGAGAATGCAGTGGCTTTGGAGCACTCTCTTCCAGCCTTAAGACAACTCACCTTTGCCTTCTCACTGGGTTCACTAGCTGTTCCATAAGAGGTGTTGTGCAGCTCCTTGGAGACAACGCACAGAAACTCAGCCTGGTCTTCATTCCCATAGTTGTAGGAAGATCCAATGCTAACTAGCTGAAACAGGAAGGAGAGTCTCAGGGTGGTTGTTTGAACAAAGCCGCAGGTACCCAATGTTTTTGACATAACTTGAAACAGGGCTTAACCTACACCTTAACAGGCAATAGTCTGAGCTAACTGAAGGTGGAATTCTTCTTCTTGCTGCTCACAAGTACAATACAGAAAACAGGAACAGCAACTCCTGTTACTAATTTTATTCATGCTCAGGCAAGACAGTGGCTTTCTTACTCTATGAATGTTAAAGGCTTCAGGTTTTTCATAGTGGACTCCAGTGTTAATATATAATGGAACCATTAAGTCCTGACCATCTACATCTGCAGTTACAGTAGCTCAAAGATTCAAGTCTTCCAGCAATGCTGCACAGAAGAAAGACTGAAGGCCTGCAGCAATCAGCATGGTCTTTACCAGACCCAGAAATAAAGTTGTAAGGAAAATGCATTTTCCTTTGCTCCAAAATACTATTCCCCATTACAGAAACAGTTCCATTAGTTGTTTCATTCAGCTTGCTCTAATCACACTTCCCACCACCAGCAATACATTCTCACTGCATACAGGAAATGGCATCTGCCCCTGCTGCCAGCTGTGGTATCTGCCTAAACAAATGCCCATGATTAGATCCATTTGCAACTGTAATATTTACCATCAGCAGTGCCAGTGGAACATTCTGACTGATAAACATTACAAAGTTCCTACAGCTTGAAGTTTACTTATGAGAATGTCTGTTTTTCCAATTCCGCCAGACATACCCAAGCAACAAACAGGTCTTACTGCAACTTGCCGAAACCTGCCTGAGCATTCCCAGATGACTGCTCGGCAACTTGCCCCAAGAGCTCTCAACTGTGTACAAAAACAGAATGTAGAACAAGTGGATTACGGCCTTGATAAGGTGGCCTAGATTCCACAAACAAGCTTGGTTGGCACTGGAGGAAAGGAAGGTACACATACTGGAATCTGCTCATGCGAATGCCTGGAGCTGGTACAATGCAGTGATTCTGAGCATGAACTCCACCTGTGAAGATCCTGACACAGGCACAAATTCAGGCTCATCGGATCAAATGGACAAAAGCACGAAGGAACACTTATACCAGAAGAAATCTGTTGGGCTCTTTGAGGGATTTTTGCAGGTTTAAGCACCTTCTCCAACCCTCATTATGGAAATAGCTGACAGCAGTATCATATGTGAAGCACTCTGAGTGCTAAGAAAAGCTGTATCATTATTAAATGATGATGGAGGAGATGATGATGTTGATCCACAGTGCTACTATTAAATAATAGTGAGGAGTGTCCTGGCAGCTGTAGGATCAAAGCCAATGTAGAAATTTGTGTCAACCCCTTCAAGTAATTTCCGCAACACCTGAACCTTTCACTTCTTCTCTTACCTGCTCAAATTTCCAGCCATCAGACATGGTGGAAACCATCTGGGTCAGCTCCTCTTCCTGGCACTGCAGCACTCTGTAAACATGCTTGACAGGCACCTACAGGTGAAACATACAGAGGCAGATAGAACTTCTACCTGCTGACAGCGACTGGATTTCACTTCTAAAGACCCCTTCCCACGGGGATGTAAAATGCCAGAAAGCCCCTTTCTTATAGTCCTGGAGGATGCCTTGAGACAAGTACTCCACAAAGGACATAGGCAGAGCTCTGCTCTTGGCATTGGCCCATATGCTTGTGTCACAAGCACAGACATATTTCACCTTAACATGTTTCTAGAACTGTCAGGAACAGGGCAGTCTGCTACCAGGAACCACTCCCCTTTGTGCCACCAAACAAAGCTACACATGCAGAAATAAACACAAATGCCTATCCCAAAAGCAAAGTAAAATTTCAAAGTGAAGGGAATCCCACCTGTGAGATTTTGCTATCTCTTTCCCTTATTTTGTCTTTCACAAGCTTTATTAAGGATGTGATGTTGTAGAATTCAGCTTCTTCAAGCACACCTAACAGGAGGGAGAAACAAGCATTTTAAAAGGTCTCTCAAAACTCTAGTCTTTTGCAAAAAAAAAACAAAAAAAAAAAAAAAAACCAAAAACAAACCAAACCCCTCTTTGTCACCAGCAGGCCTTAAGAGATGCTACATGCTCAAGTTGTGGCCTACTTCTGCTTTCTCTCATTTGCCCCCTGAAGTGCTGGCCTGTCACTAGTATACTTGCCAAAGCGAGGCATCTGCAGCGAGCCCACATTGCAAAGAGAACAGAAACAGCCAAGCGGTCCTTGAATACAAATGCGCCCAAGATAATACACGAATCAATATTTAAGCTATGCAACTTCACTGAAAACGTAACTCTATAGCAGTTTCATTGCCAGGACCTGGTTTCTAAATTCATTCAAGTCCAGGAATTTTTAGGTCTGAAGACCATTACAAGTTACAAAGCAATACCACCAACTAGTCTCACAGCACATCTGAGCTGATGATATTAAAAACCTTCATCTGAATGATTTTTCACAGCAGGTAAAATACTGAGATATTAAAAAACAGAACTGTTTTCTTAAAGAACAACATGTACCTTCTTCTGCAAGGTCTTTATTGATAACCAGTTTCCCATGTCGGAGATAGTTCAACACTGGTCCAAAGTAGGTTGGATCTCTGTCTATTAAGTAGGCACCTGTTTCATCCTGATTTAGAATAGAAAAATGTATACGTGTTTAGTAAATGTCCTACCTCACTGTTCAACTATCAGGTTCTCAGAGAAGTTGTACAACAAGGATAACAATAAAATCAACAACGTAATAAATGTTATTTATTTTTAACTTATTGTTGTAAGCTGCCCTGAGGCTTCGGCGAATGGGGCAGCATAAAAATGTTTTAATAAATAAATAAATAAATAAATAAGTGTGATGTCTCTCAAACACACACACACATCTTAGTCCATGGGTCCTCAAACTACAGCCCGGGGGCCAGATCCAACCCGCAATGCCCATTTAGACCCGCTGCATGCGCGCTCACACCCATGCGCATGCCCGCCACCACCGCCCACCTCGCCCCACACACAGGGAGGCAGCAGTCTGCTCTCTCGGAGAAAACCATCTCCAAGAGAGTAAGCCACTTCCTTGTGTGCCCACCTCACGGTGCATGCCCACCCCCGCCTGCACCTCGTCTTGCCTCCCCTTGCCATGCGTGCCCGCGCACACCACCGGCACCAACTTTCCGGCCTGTGCCCACCATTGGCAGCTTTCAACTGGTCCCCTGGTGGAAAAGTTTGAGGACCTCTGCCTTAGCCTACAAAGCCCTTAATAGCTTGGGACCTGGATACCTAAAGAAACGCCTTCTTCCGTATTTGCCCTCCCGCCCCCTGAGATCGGCAGCAGAGGCCCTCCTCTGGGAACCCTCTGTGAAATATATTAGGAGGCAAAGTACCCAGAGGAGGGCTTTCTCTGCAGTGGCGCCCCGCCTATGGAATGTGCTCCCCAGGGAGGTCCGCCTGCCGCCGTCATTATTTGTTTTTCGGCACCAGGTAAAGACCTTTTTATTCCAACAATATTTTAATAACTTTTAATATTGGATTATATATGTTTTTAATCTGCAGCCAGGGTGGATCTGAAATTCATTTGTATTATGTTTTATATTATTCTTATTTATTTATGTAAGCCGTCCTGAGGCCTTCGTGACAGGATGGCATATAAATATTCTAATAAATAAATAAATAGCCTGTCACCCTAGAGCCAGCTGCATTGCTGCCTTCCCCATGTAAGAAATCACCTGCTACCATCACTTCAGTGGGTGATACCAAGAACAGCTGCTTTCATGCAGAGTTCTAACGGCCAAACAGTGTTATAACTTTACCCAGTTTCTAACCACACCAAGAGTTATTAATAATAAACTGGAAAGGACGAAGACATGAATGTGGGGCAAGAAAAGCCTTGTAAGAATTCCAATAGAGGAAAACAATCAGATTTAATCAATATGTTATGGTTTTCTGCTAAATAATAAACCTAAAATCACAATCAAAGCAATTAACCAAGCCAAAGGATGCTCCTTGATACATCAAATCACTCTATAACTTAGTTCGTTATGGGCCTGGATTTTTAAAATAAGATTTAGATACCACTCTGCATCCCATAAAATAACTTAATCTTGTTAGGAATGGAGACAAAGCCCAGAAAGACAAGGACTCAGACACTATAGAAAAGGCCAAGAAAGCAGTTGTAGTAAAAGCTTTTAATCAAATTGTAGAGATAAACAACTATGACCTCTTGATTCAATCAAGAAATATGGCTTAATAACTATAACTGAGACGCACTGAATTGAACATAGCAACAGAGGAATTTAACATGCTCAAAAGGAACAGAAACCACAGAAAAGGGGAAGGATGGCATGATATTTTTGAAATATGCATACCTACACAGGCATTCAAGAGAATGAATATGGTTGCCCTGTTGAAAGCATCTGGCTAAATAAATGGATGAGGAAATAAAATCAATATTGTGGCCAGAATCTGCTATTGACCACCCACAATAATAGGTGTGAATATTTTGCAAAAATTGCAATTACTTCAAGGAAACATGAGGTGGCAATGCAGGATTTTAATTACCATGAAATCTATGGAAATCTGCAGGATGTTCCTAAAGTGCCTTGTATGAAGATCAAAGGAATTCAGCAGTCTAGCACCCATTCTTGAGAAGATTCTAGCGCAGATTAAAAATGCTTGATCTGCAGGCACTTGGCATTTGGCATGAATGCTGTGATCACTGGAAGCTAGCAGAGAATTGTCAAAAATAAGCTCTTCCACAGTAAACTGAAATCTTTAGTAGATTGGGAAAAATCTGTGGACATAATCTACCTTGATTTCAGCAAGGTAGTTGACAAAGTGCCCCATGATATTCCAATTAGCAAGCTAATTAAGTGCAGGTTTAATGCAACTAATATCAGGTGGAACCACAGCTGGTTGATTCTAGTCCTCACTTGGCCATGAAGCTCACTGGGTGTCTTTGGGCCAGTCAGACTTTCAGCCCAACCTACCTCACAGGATCACTGTTGTGAGAATAAGACTGGGAAGAGGAGAATCATGTAAGCCACCTTGAGTTCCTTGAAAAGAAAAATGGCAGTATAGAAATATAATAATAAATAAATGGTTCTTCACCAAACTGGAGAGAGATAGTGAATGGGAAGGCACAAGACTCAATCCTGAGTCCTGCACGCTTTAATGTTTTATTAATAACTTGGCATAAGGGACAGAGAAGATACTTAATGGACTTTCAAATGACTCAACAGTGCAACACCTTAGAACAGAGAAACAAAATTCAAAATGATCTTGTTAGGTTGGAAAACTGGGCTGAAAATGGAATAAAATTCAACAGAAATAAAAAGCTCTTCATTTAGGAAAAATAAATCAAATGCACAAGTGGGGGATACCTGGCTTGATAATAGGAGATGTGAAAAGGAGTTGTAGTGAATCACAAGCTTCATATGAATCAGCATTGTGGTATGGATACAGAAATGGCAATTCAATTTTAGGTTACATCAATAGAATTATAGTTTCTAAGTCGCAAAAATTAACAGCTCCACTGTACTCCATGCTGGTCAGATCTCATTTTGAATACTGTGTTCAGTTTAAGAAAGATTCTGATAAATCAAACCACATGCAGAGAAGGCGATATAGATGAACAGAAAACTAGAAATGAAGTCCTTTGTGGGAAAGTGCGAAGAAACTGGGTATGTTGAGTCTGGAGAAGGGGAAGACATGAGAAACATTCTAAGTATCCAAAGGGTTGTGATACAAAAGGTGCTAGTGGAGCCTCCTCATCTAAGATGTATAATATTGGACTCAAATTACAGAAGGCCAGATTTCATATGTACATTAGGAAGAAACTTCTTAACAGTTTTCAGGCAATGAAAACAACCTACTAGAGAGATGGTGAATTTTCTATCACTGGCTATATTCAAGTGGAGAGAATGGACAGCCACCTGCCAAGAATGCTTTAACTTGGATTTCTGCACTACAAAGGGAGTAGCCTCTATGGTCTAAATCACCCCTCCCAACTTTTGGCTTGACTTTGCTCCCACCAGATTACCCCGAACCAGATACTGCACTGAGGAGGTGCACAGTGCACGTATGCTGTACCTTTGCTGCAGGAAGCTGCGCTGCGTCCAATGGCGCTTATTCTGTCCCATATGTGAATAGTTATGCTAAAAACTGCCTCTTCTGAAGGCCCAGAAGCGGCTTGCCCTTGTGCAGGGCAGCAAGTGGGGACGGACAAGTGTCATCCCGCTTCTTCCTGGAGCGCAGGAACGGGCAGGAGACGAGAGTGTACCGAGCCCTGTTCCCTCGTCAGACGTGCCCCCATCCCCAAACCCAGGACAGTTCGCTTGCCGCGGGGCCCAGCGGCGCTGCTTAAAGGGGGCGGAGGGGCTCTCCTGCCGACCAGCGGGCCGGCCAGGCCAGAGGGCGCCGAGACCCGACGCCGCTCGCCTACCTTATCGGAGTCGAGGTCCGGGTCGGCCTGACAGAGGCGGAAGAGGAAACTTTTGGGGTCCCTGCAAAGCGTCTGCCGGGTGGTGAGGAAGCAGGTACCGCCCACGTTCAGTCGGACCCATTTTCCGGGGATTCCGCCCAGGGCCGGGCGAGCCAGGGCCGAGCTACCGCACCACGAAGACGACGACGAGGAGCTGGAGCTGCTGCAGCGACGACAAACCGCTGTGGGCTGCCCGCCCAACCCAGGCCCGGCCGCCGGCACCACCGGCAGCTCACAGGAGCTCTCCGCCGCCATTCTGGCTTCGCGCCGGAAGGTCCGTTTCGAAAAGCGTCCCCTCCGGACCACGGCCCTGCGCCGGCCGGCAGGGCGCATGCGCAGCGCTTTCCGGTCTCGGCGCGCCGGGGTGCTTGCTTCGAGCGCTCTCGTCTGCAGCGGCCCTGCTCGAACCGTGAGGCCCGGAGACGACGCAACAGAGGCCAGCGCCGGGCGGGCCCCGTCATCGAATGGCGTGGGGGGGGGGGCACGGCAAGTTAGTTCGGGATGTCACCTGCCTGCGACACGCGAGTGCTCACTTGGACCCCGCGCCTGGCCTCGGGCTTGCTGGCTGGAGGCGAAGGCGGACGAGGAGCGCCGCGAGCCGAGCGGCCTTTGACGCGGGGTTCGGAGTCTTCGAGGGGCCGCGTGGCCCGAGCTGCCGGTCTGCGGGAGACACCCGACGAATTGCGTAGCGGCTCCCCACCCGGCTTGAGGTGGGCGGCTTCGGTGAGCAGGCCGCGGGTGGCCCATACCCCCGGAAACAAGTCGGGGCGCCCGAGCGAAGACAGTCTGCTCCCGGCGCGCCCAGGCAGCACTTTCCGCGGTGGCGTCGGAGCCCGCCGGAGCAAGTGCGAGGATAGCCTCCATAGGCAGCTGCAGAGGCACAGGCCCGCGCCAAGCGCTTGGGAGTCCCCCGCTGGTGGCTGTCGCTCACCCTCGTCCCTCCCGTCGGTGGCTCTCACCTCGACTGTCGGGGCTGAGGTGGCCAAGGCCATTGACATGGCTGGTGGCAGACGTACAAAAAGTAACAGCTGCTGCACCATCCCTTGAATGCCTGTCTCAAGCCTTTCAGGTTAGTTTTGGAGGTCTGCGTGACGTCCAAGCTGCATAAATGAGTTGACGTTCGGATTTTTTAAATTATCCTGATAATTGGCTTTTGGAATACCTGTAGACAACTTAGGACAAGTCTTTTATTTTTGGATTGATGAAGGCAATAAGGGCGAGAGAGATGAGGTATTTTCTCAGGAACACAAGATAACCCTATAAGATGGTGCAAAAGGTCTTTAAAATACCTTCAAATAAATGTTTGAAGGGGTGCCATAGGTCTGCATGGTGTAATTGTTATCCAGTACAGACATTTTGGGACCCAGTCTTCAAAGAAATGAATAATATGACCAGAGAAAGACCCATGGCCCCTGTACTAGCTATCTTTCCAAAGGACTTACTACCTACTCTCTATAAATACTTTTATACTGTTCAGCAACTGCAACAATTGCCAACCAGTGAACTTTTCTGGTTTCTGAGATTTTGGTGACCACTATGGTAGGTAATCTCTTACCTTCCGTAGGTCATTAAAGGTGATACATAAGCTGAAACACTGCAAAATGTTGCCCATTTTTGTGTGATCATATATATTTGATTTTTTTGATATACCAAAAGAATATGATTTCAGCTTAAAAGCCTTTATTAGGGCTTAGCAGGGAAGCTTTTATCTTGTATCCATTGTGGACTGTTTCAGTCATGGCTATTCATGCGTAGAAAAGCTTTTGAATCCCACTACTGGAACCATAAGAGCCACACAACTTGGTAGTTGTGATGTCTCAGCACACATCCCCACATGCATGCCCCCCTGCACCCCCAGCAGACACAGGATGTGGCCCTCCAGCCCAAAAAAAGACCACTATCCCTGAACAGAATAAATATTGCTGCTTTGTCTCCATTTGATCTCTGCAACTTTTATTTCTATGTTTTGTGCTATTTCATAGTTCTCTCAGACATAATTTCTTCTGAAGGGACATTAAAGTTTGAATGTATGTGCATGTTTTTATCTTGTATTTTATTTTGCCTTAATTTCTACATTACTCAGCATTTATTACTGAGCTGTTCAGAAATGCAATAAAAACAACTGAGAAAAATGTAGTGGACTAAGTGGGATTTGCTTCTGAGTACCATGTATAGACAGTGCTTAGAGTTAATAAAGATAAGAATTAGCTTTCCCAAGGCAACAGTTCTCTTATTCTATCCCATAAATGCTGTGCAGGTCACATTTCTGCAAGCAGAATTAGCATCTAGAAGATTCACAGCTTTCAATACTGAACTTTCAGTTTGAGCTTTGTGGATATCAGAAAAAGGTATGTGTTAACGGAAACATGCTTTTTATATGTTAAATTGTTCATTAATTATATAAATATTTTTAAACATTTACTGTAACCCTAACCCTTGATGCATAAGATGGGGAACCCTGAGGCAAGTTTATTACATTTATACCCTGCCTTTTCTTCAAGGAGTTCAAGGTAGCACATGTTCTCTCCCTCATTTTATCCTCACATAGCCCTGTGAGATAGGTTAGGCAGCAAGAATATGACAGCCCCAAGATTATCTAAGAGATTCATGACTGGTTGGGGATGTGAAATAGAATCTTCCTTGTTCAACTCCTTAAACACAGAGAACCAAGAGGCATAACCACTCTATTGCTTGGCTTACTCAAATTAGTTCTGTGCACCCAAAACAAAACCTCCATCAGAGAGACCTGTCATGAGAGATTCCTGTCTTCCATTATGTGTGTCATGTTCCAGAGGAAAGCATCTAACATGCCATCCAGATCAAAGATTCTCATCTGACTGGATGTAGGAAGAGAGATGCAAACAGGATTAGGGCAGCTGAAATGAAGTTCCTCCCAAAATCAAAAGCAATTTTAATCAAATCTGTAGAGATACAGCAGTGTTGCCCAAGTACACTTCTTGTTGTTGTTAGTCGCGAAGTCATGTCTGACCCATCGCAACCCCATGCACAACATTCCTCCAGGCCTTCCTGTCTTCCACTATCCCCCGGAGTCCACTCAAGCTCACACGAACTGCTTCAGTGACTCCATCCAGCCACCTCATCGTCTGCCGTCCCCTTCTTCTTTTGCCATCTATTGTTCCCAGCATTAGGCTCTTCTCCAGGGAGTCTTTCCTTCAAATTAGGTGGCCAAAGTATTTGAGTTTCATCTTCACTATCTGGCCTTCTAAAGTGCAGTCAGGGTTGATCTCCTCTAGGACTGACTGGTTTGATCGCCTTGCGGTCCAGGGGACTCACAGGAGTCTCCTCCAGCACCACAATTCAAAGGCCTCAATCCTTTGGCGCTCAGCCTTCCTTATGGTCCAGCTTTCACAGCCATACATTGCACCTGGGAAAACCATAGCCTTGACTATAAACACTTTTATTGGCAGGGTGATGTCTCTGCTTTTTAGTAGGCTGTCTAGATTTGCCATAGCTTTCCTCCCCAGGAGCGTCTTTTAATTTCTTGGCTGCAGTCCCCATCTGCGGTGATCTTGGAGCCCAGGAAAATAAAATCTGTCACTACCTCCATTTCTTCCCCATCTATTTTCCAGGAAGTGATAGGACTGGATGCCATGATCTTAGTTTTCTTAATGTTGAGTTTCAAGCCAACTTTTGTGCTCTCCTCCTTCACCTGCATCAAGAGGCTCTTCACTTTCCTGCATTAGAGTGGTATCATCTGCATATCTGAGGTGGTTGATATTTCTCCCAGCAATCTTAATTCCAACTGGCGATTCATCTAGCCACACCTTTCTCATGATGTGCTCTGCATATAAGTTAAATAGGCAGGGCAACAGTATACAGCCTTGCCAAACTCCTTTCTCAATTTTGAACCAATCAGTGGTTCCGTGTCCAGTTCTCACTGTTGCTTCTTGACCCGCATATAGGTTTCTCAAGAGAGAAATAAGATGGTCTGGTACTCCCATCTCTTTAAGAACTTGCCACAATTTGTTGTGATCCACACAATCAGAGGCTTTAGCATAGTCAATGAAGCAGAAGTAGATGCTTTTCTGGAACTCCCTAGGTTTCTCCATGATCCAGCACATGTTGGCAATTTAAACTCTAGTTCCTCTGCCTCTTCGAAATCCTGCCTGTACTTCTGGTACTTCTCGGTCCACATACTGCTGGAGCCTAGCTTGTAGGATTTTGAGCATAACTTTGCAATGGTGCGGTAGTTTGAACATTCCTTGGCATTGCCCTTCTTTGGGATCGGAATGTAAACTGACCTTTTCCAATCCTGCGGCCACTGTTGAGTTTTTCAAATTTGCTGGCATATTGAGTGTAGCACTTTTACTGCATTGTCTTTTAAGATTTTGTATAGCTCAGCTGGATGAACGAAGTACACTATAGTTCATCAAAGGTTCCCAAGCCCAGTGTCCGATGTACTAGCTATGACCCAGATGGCAACAATGCTTCACCAGAAGGCTTCAGGCAGGGTGAATACACATGTGCATGCACAAATGGGTAACAAAAGCTTTGCAGGCAAAGTGACTGCTTGCAGATTGTGAGCAGCGGTACAAAAACCCAAGGGTCGCACTGGCTCAGACAACACATGTGCACATGCCTACACTGGAGGCTGCAGCTTGATCCCCACCGCAACTTGATCACTCCCCTTAACAATTGCTTCCTTTAATCTTTTAGGCAGGAAACTGCTCTAAGAACAAGACCCATGGCTCCAGCTGAGAATCCCCATTGCCAGACTACCCTAGCAGAAGCCTTTCAAGTGCTGCATCATAGAAAATGTAAATATGTTCTAGGAACAAAAAACAGAAGGAACCATCGACCCCATTTCTAGAGTGCGTTTTCCTTTATTCTATTTTTTTTTGCTGGTGGGAGATGCAAGAAGTCTGAGGCATATGAAGAAATAGCCCAGCGGCAACACCTACCAATACCTCTGGTTTGGGGTGCAGTATCATCCGCTGCAGGAGAGATAGTGTCAGCTTTACCTCTAAGATGCTATTCGCCATTCTTCACTAGCAGAGATCACATGATTTCTCATCACATGACTGAGTTCATCTCTGGCTTCCGTGAGAACACTGAAAACCCCAATAGCTGTTGTGTGAAAAAATATTCTGTTTGAGCAACAAAAGCTAATAGCTCTTGCTCAGAACTCTTGTACAAATTTTTTCTTATGGTCCAAATGAAAAGTGATTTGGAGGAGTACTGATAGTTTTTGTAGGGAGGCATTAGTGTTCGGAAAAGAACCTGCCCCTCAAAAAGTTTCAGTTACCTGGAAATTAGTACATAGAGAGATGGGGAACTTATACTGAGAAAGCAAGATTATTGCTATATTAACAAGAAGTGTTTGACCATGACAGTTTAATTGGAAAAAGACAAAAGAACGATATGAAACATTTGATAGATATGACTCAAGTACCATACATTTTCCCCCTCCTTTGTATCAACATTTTTACATGAACACAACAATTAGTCTGATTAGTGGAGGGTCTTAAATATAATTAAATCATGAAAAATATTTTCAAAGTTGCTAAAAGGTACGACGCTTGGGCAATGAACAATACAGGAATATTTGTACACCTCATTATACAAAGAGACACAAATCAAGTCATCATTTGTACAACAGCATTTCCCTCACGTGGCCTTCTCTCCCCACAAATAGGCCAGCCCCCTACAATGTTCTGCCCATGCCAGACCCTTGAAAGAAATCTGCTCGCTCCCTCTTCTGAAAAAATGAAGAGTCTATTTATTACATCAATATAGTTTGTACTAACTAGTTAACCTCTTAGTTAGTCTTGGTTAAAAGCATGCTGGTAACCTTAATGCTCCTTAGTTAAACATGTAAATGTGTCAATTAAAATTCCATGTTTAAAATTTTATGAAATTAGAATGGCCAGACTTTCAAGTGACATGTTTAACGTTTTCCCCTCTTACCACTGTGCCGGAGTGTATCTGCAAGATGTGATTAAAAGAAAGTACCATCCATGGAGAATCCTGCAACTGGACATGACCTGGAGAGTTTTGCATGGGCGTATGTCCGCAGCAGTTACAAGTGCTGGACACCAACAAACCAACTGGAAGGAAGGAAGGAAGGAAGGAAGGAAGGAAGGAAGGAAGGAAGGACGGAAGGACGGAAGGACGGAAGGCACGCACGCAGTGGCAGCAGCAACAATGGCAACTTCACATGGAAACCTTTCAGAGCTCCCTGACAAAACAGTTGCATGATAAATTGGAAAGTCACAGTAATAATACAGCCCCCCATGATCTGGGCTGTGCAAGTGGATTAGATTGGCTTTGCTTAACTGATCTACAGCAAAGCCAGCGATGCAAAGTCCACTAGACTGCAGCAGAAGCCAAGGTAGTAACTCACGGCAGCAAAGAATATGTGCATGTGTGTGTGAAAGCCTCAACAGAAGCACAAAAGCAAGCAAAGCAACCCTGAATTCCATTGGTTGGGCATTTCCTTAGAAAAGGAACTAGTTTTGGCCCTGGAGATGGATGTTTAGCTGGGCTAGGAAGTCCTCTGGCTGGGAGCACGTGGCGCTCTAGCAGCAAGGAGTGAGACGGGGCATTTAGGGGCAGCCTCATTTCGCAGAGTTCTGGGGGTATCTGTGTCGCCAAACCTCTTGTATCTTTTTGCACCACTTATGAGCGTTCCCACTCGGGTCCATCAGGTAGTATGTCCTGTGGGGCTGGAAGCAAAGAACATTTAATGCCCAGTCAACCCGGCAGCCAGTGAACATGTCGCTAGCACAAACCCAACTATTTCGACTGGAGCCAGCAAGCAATGCTAAGCTTTGGTCTGGCGGATTCTGGCAAAACTTCACCTTCCCCCACAAGAATAAAAATGCATGCAGCATCTTGTTTATGAAGCATCCCACAGCAAATTCTAACAATGCCTTTTGCTTCATTGACAACACACGCCAGATGGACCAGCCAACAAGCCGGATCCAGCCAAGAAAGCATTCGAGCCAGCCTCAGCTGCCAGCAGGGTTGCCACACAGCTATTGTGGCGCAGGCTTATGGATCCAAGTTGGACCCATGGCCCTCTTAAGCTACTCAAGAGTTCCTTCATCACATGTTCCTTGTAGTGTTTGCAGCTAGCATGGGTCCCACTAGCCCCTCCTCAAGAGCACGATTGTGCAGGATCAGCAGGCAAGCCGGAACCTTGACAAATAGGCTTGAGAGGTCACTTACTGTGTGAACAAAAAAGGTCTTGAAGTTCTTTGCTTCTGGCCGGAGGTCCGGTGACCATGGAATCTCCCCTTTCAGAACCTTGTTGATCGGGTCCACGTAGTACAGATGTGGCCCTTCAGTGAGCAACAACTGGCGCCGGCGAGCGAATAGACCCTGCAGAGAAGGAAGCCATGTCCAGAGCCCTTTTCTAGCAACAACCCACAATATTGCTAGGCGGGGGAGGGGGTGTTAACATTCTAGCTGAGAACTGAACAGGATCACAAAATCTCATTTCGATGCCCTTGCCATACCCACTACCCCCAAGTCATAGAGGACAGAAGAAAGGGGATCCCATTGCTTTCATCACTAGTGAAGGAGAACAAGTAGAGTGATGAACACTTGGGGGGCTGGGGGGCGGGACTTGCTTGGGAATGGCTCTCTGAACCAACTATTTTATAGTTAACTAACTGAAGAGGTATTTTCAGAGCTCACATGATTCCCAAAGAATGTTTCTTAGCTTCATACTTCCCAAATATTAACTTAAACTGCCTAGTTTGTATCCTCCTCTATACAACCATAGTATCCTCCCCTATACAACCATAGTTTCCATCTCTCCACTGGAGAAGCAAATGGCAACCCACTCCAGTATCTTTGCCATGAAAACCCCATGGACAGTACCAAAAGGCAAAAAAATATGACACTGGAAGATGACCCCCCAGGTTGGAAAGTGTCCAATATGCTACTGGGGAAGAGCAGAGGGCTAGTACTAATAGCACTAGAAAGAATGAAGCAACTGGGTCAAAGCCAAAAGGACAGTCGGTTGCAGATTTATCTGGTGGTGAAAGGAGAGTCCAATGCTGTAAAGACCTCTACTTCATAGGAACCTGGAATGTAAGATCTATGAATCAAGGCAAGCTGGACATGGTCAAACAAGAGATGACAAGACTGAACATCGACATCTTAGGAATCAGTGAACTAAAATGGACAGAAATGGGTGAATTTAATTTAGATGACCATCAGGTATACTACTGCGGGCAAGGATCCCTCAGAAGAAATGGAGTAGCCTTCATAGTCAATAAAAGAGTAGGAAAAGCAGTACTGGGATACAACCTCCAAAATGACAGAATGATCTCAGTTCGAATCCAAGGTAAACCATTCAACATCACAGTAGTCCAAGTCTATGCCCCAACCACTGGTGCTGAAGAGGCTGAAGTTGACTGGTTCTATGAAGGCCTACAACACCGTCTAGAATTAACACCAAAAAATGATGTCCTTATCATCATGGGCGATTGGAATGCTAAAGTAGGAAGCAAAAAGATAACCGGAATAACAGGCAAGTTTGGCCTTGGAGTACAAAATGAAGCAGGGCACAGGCTGGTAAAATTTTGTCAAGAGAATACGATGGTCATAGCAAATACTCTTTTCCAACAACCCAAGAGATGACTTGGGTTGAGTCAGTAAAAACAAGACCAGGAGCTGACTGTGGCTCAGATCATGAGCTTCTTGTTGCAAAATGTAGGCTTACATTGAGGAAAGTAGGGAAAAGCACTAGGCCACTCAGGTATGACTTAATCATATCCCGGATATGATTTAGACAGAGTGCCTGAAGAACTATGGACTGAGGTTCGCAACACTGTACAAGAGGTAGCAACTGAAACCATCCCAAAGAAAAAGAAATGCAAGAAAGCAAAATGATTGTCTGAGGAAGCTTTACAAATAGCTGAGGAAAGAAGGGAAGCAAAAGGCAAGGGAGAAAGAGAAAGATACACCCAACAAAATGCAGAATTCCAGAGAATAGCCTTCTTAAATGAACAGTGCAAAGACATAGAAGAAAACAATAGAATAGGGAGGACCAGAGATCCCTTCAAGAAAACTGGAGATATGAAGGGAACGTTTCATGCAAAGATGGGCATGATAAAGGACCAAAATGGCAGGGACCTAACAGAGGCAGAAGGGATGAAGAAGATGTGGCAAGATTACACAGAAGAACTATGCAAGAAAGAGCTTAATGCCCCTGATAACCAGGATGGGGTGGTCACTGACCTTGAGCCAGACATCCTGGAATGTGAAGTCAAATGGGCCTTAGGAAGCCTAACCAACAACAAAGCTAGTGGAGGTGACAGTATTCCAGCTGAGCTATACAAAATCCTAAAAGACGATGCAGTAAAGGTGCTACACGCAATATGCCAGCAAATTTGGAAAACTCAGCAGTGGTCGCAGGATTGGAAAAGGTCAGTTTATATTCCAATCACAAAGAAGGGCAATGCCAAAGAATATTCAAACTACTGCACCATTGCACTCACTTCACATGCTAGCAAAGTTATGCTCAAAATCCTACAAGCTAGGCTCCAGCAGTATGTGGACCGAGAAGTACCAGAAGTACAGGCAGGATTTCGAAGAGGCAGAGGAACTAGAGTTCAAATTGCCAACATTCGCTGGATCATGGAGAAAGCTAGGAAATTTCAGAAAAACATCTACTTCTGCTTCATTGACTATGCTAAAGCCTTTGATTGTGTGGATCACAACAAATTGTGGCAAGTTCTTAAAGAGATGGGAGTACCTGACCATCTTATCTGTCTCTTGAGAAACCTATATGTGGGTCAAGAAGCAACAGTTAGAACTGAACACGGAACCAATGGGGCTAGATGAATCACAAGTTTGAATTAAGATTGCCCGGAGAAATATCAACAACCTCAGATATGCAGATGATACCACTCTCATGGCAGAAAGTAAAGAGGAACTAAAGAGCCTCTTGATGCGGGTAAAGAAGGAGAGCACAAAAGTTGGCTTGAAACTCAACATTAAGAAAACTAAGATCATGGCATCCAGTCCTATCACTTCCTGGAAAATAGATGGGGAAGAAATGGAGGTAGTGACAGATTTTATTTTCCTGGGCTCCAAGATCACTGCAGATGGGGATTGCAGCCAAGAAATTAAAAGACGCTTGCTCCTTGGGAGGAAAGCCATGGCAAATCTAGACAGCATACTAAAAAGAAGAGACCCCACCCTGATGACAAAAGTGCGTATAGTCAAGGTTATGGTTTTCCCAGGTGCAATGTAAGGCTGTGAAAGTTGGACCATAGGGAAGGCTGAGCGGCAAAGAATTAAGGCCTTTGAATTGTGGTGCTGGAGGAGACTCCTGCGAGTCCCTTGGACTGCAAGGTGATCAAACTGGTCAGTCCTAGAAGAGATCAATCCTGACTGCTCTTTAGAAGGCCAGATAGTAAAGATGAAACTCAAATACTTTGACCACCTAATGAGAAGGAAGGACTCCCTGGAGAAGAGCCTAATGCTGGGAACAACTGACAGCAAAAGAAGAAGGGGACGGCAGAGGATGAAGTGGCTGGATGGAGTCACTGAAGCAGTCGGTATTTGCTTAAGTGGACTCTGGGGGATGGTGGAGGGCAGGAAGGCCTGCAGGAACGTTGTCCATGGGGTCGCTATGGATCAGATACGACTTCGTGACTAACAACAACAACTATACAACCATGATCCCACAATGTTCACCTCTGTGTGGACCCTAACCATAACCCTGTAGAGTAAAATTTATGATTCAAGCACAATTGTCTGCCATAGCAAATATTTCTGAGCCTCTAAAAATATGTATTGTGACAAAGTTTCCTTAGTTTACCTTAGTTCACATACATGAAGCTGTCTCAGGGGTACATGCACCCCACAGAGAGGGAAGGATAAAAATTTGAGAGAACAAAAAGTGAGCCCAAACCACTAAGTAGCATAAGGGCATCAGGCAGTGTGTTGTACAACAATGCAAAGTGCAAACGGATTCAACGACTGACTGGCTGCCACTTGGAATATGGAAGTTTGCCAGTAAACAGAACACCTGACCAGGGACAAGTAGAATGTGAGAGTCTTGTTCGTATTAAGATTGAGCGAGGTCTAAATGTAACAAATGTTCACTGCTAGTTGTTCTCCACCAAAACTAGGGGGAAAGTGGGGGGTCTCTCAGCTACCAACTAATCTGCATTGTGGAACGCAAAAGAACCAAATAGGGATCCTCCACATTCTAAAATTTCCTGTTAATCCACAGTTATTTCTCTGCAGGCATTTTCTTCTGTTCCCCTTTTCCTCCTTTTTAACTGTCATTCTGTTTTTATGATTTCCTGTATCCAAGCACCAAGTGCTATATGAGTGCTATAGAAAGCCTGAGAATAAAACAATCTCTCTTGATCCATGCAAACAAGAACATTTGCAGACAAGAGCAACTTACCTTCCTCTTGTCCACTGGCCCCATTTTCAGTATTAAATTATTTTCTACAAACTGGTGCCTAAGAAAAAAAACATCACCTCCTGTTATTTTTCTCATCCCATCATCAGTGCCAAGCCAGTGCTGTTCATTGTCTGACCATGAGAGAGACAGGTAACACCAGCAAGTAGTTTCATATATAAAAAAAGACTCTTTCTTGCAGGTGCACACTAACAACAGAGAGTGAGCCCATCTCCAGTCAGGACCAGCTGCTACAGTCATCATACACAGTGAATTTCGCCCTTTGCAATGATTAGTAACAGAAAACAGTCCATTACTTCTGTACATGGTGATTTTGACCTACACTTCTGGTGTCAAAACATCTGCCTCCAGACTTACTTTTACACATTCTGACCTTCCTGACAGATTTATTTTATATTTCTGATCATCATGTGCCTCTCCAAAAGGAAACTAAGTGCCATATTTTTTGCTCTATAAGACACATTTCCCCCCCCTCAAAAGGGGAAATGTCTGTGTGTCTTATAGAGCGAATGTGTGTGTGCAGTAAGTCTGTCAGAAGTGCAGCCCATGGGGAAGTGATGGGGAATGTGCCTGTGATTATGTGCCCATTTGATTCAGAATATTTTTTTCTTGTTTTCCTCCTCTAAAAACTAGGTGTGTCTTATGGTCAGGCATGTCTTATAGAGCGAAAAATACAGTAACTGACTCTTGTTTGGTCCTCAGGAAAGGAAAGGAAAAATAGGAGATGGAGTTCATTAGCTGTCTCGCAGGGCAGATTTTCAACCTTTCCCCACCCCTAGCACTACTTAGCAGTGGGCTTGGTCTGAGCTATAATTCGATGCGCTTGCCATACTCCATCTTCCCATTTGATTTTGCATTTCTCTTTTGACCACCAGCTTGTCTCTGCTCAGGCTGTCTACTATCCATAAACATCGTGTACCTTTGTCCAGTCTCTAGGTTTACTCAGAAACACCTGATCTTGGGCCAGCCATTTGGCGTATATAAACAACCAACGCTCATTTTTCAGACAGAACCACTTCCATCAGCCTATTCAAACTTGCCCAAGTGTGCAAACCTCAACCATTTCTCTTAACTGCTCTGCATTCTTTCTCTGGGTCTTCTTCTAGTTCTCAGATTTGCTTGACTAAGTAACATAAAAACAAGGGAATCACAAGGAAAGGGAAATCATAAAGGAATCCATTTCCTTACAGACACAAATGTAAAATTGGAATAAGCATCAGCCTTTAAGCATCAACTCTACTGCATTTTTAAAAATATATATCTTCATCTTGTGTTTCTTCAGAATTTTTTTTCAGCTTTCTTTACATTTCACCTATTTTCTCTACAGTGTCAAAAGCCTTTGTCTTTTTGTACTTTTTACTTCTTGTCTGAGTTTCTCTCCAAAGTCCCTGAAACTTCTATATGAGCATCTCAGCACCTCTTTTCTTCTTCTGCTGATGGGCTTCCCTTCTTTTAAAATTTGCAAATAGCAATCAAACATTCTTTCTTTAAGAGAAGCATCAGCCAAACTGGCCAGGGAGCAGCGCTCCCACTGCTCCAAACACTTGCAAGGTTTTTTTACTATAGTTAGTAAACGGAAGGAGTCATTGGAAAAGACCCTGATGCTGGGAATGAGTGAAGGCAAAAGGGGAAGGGGACGGAGGAGGTTGAGGTGGCTGGATGGGGTCACTGGAGAGGTCGGTGTGGGCTTGGGTGGACGCTGGGGGATGGTGGAGGATGGGAAAACCTGGAGGAATGTTGTCCATGGGGTTGTGAAGAATTGGGTACAACTTTGCAACTGAACAACAAAGTAAACATGTAGTGAATTTCTAGGGTTCGGGTTAGACTGATGGTGACACCTGAGGACAGAGTGTGGCAGCACCTTCCACCTTCTGTTCCCCAGCAACTTGTACTGAGAGAGATCAGTCACACACTATCTGCAACAATCACAAAATTTCCTTCTTTGGTCAGTGATTGCAAGCTCAGAAACCATCAAGTACTTTGGATTTTCTGCGCCAATTCTCTGTCTCACTTTACAGTAACTTTCAGTGAGCACCAGCATCATACTGATGAAGAGAGGGTCTAATTTCCTTTGTGCAACAGCGGAAGCCTCAGATCAACATCCACCCACCCTCGCCACTTCATTCTGATAACAGGAGTGATGCCCACACAGTTCTGAGTGTCTCATGCATATTGCAGAGCTTGCAGATGTAGTGGAACTCTCCTCAGCCCCAGCCAGCGTGGCTGATGTCCAGGGATGTTTTAGTCTAACAACGTCTGCAGGCCTAGAGCTCACAAGAAGCAAAGGCTTGAAGAGTATCAGCGACTTCTTTAACCATAACCTTTCATGACTAAGGAAAGAAGGCCTACAAATTCCAAGTCCTTTCCGGTTGCATATCCTTTCTTCCTTTATTGTGCATTATTGTACTTCAACAGAAGCACTTTCCTAATAGCACTTTTAAGATTTTCCAAGAAACATTTTGGAAGCCATGGAAACTTTTTGAAAGCCAGACTTTACTGAGAAAACATCTAAGCCATGTAATATAGAAGAGATTTTTGCCTACAGAGCCTCAGTGTTTTTTCTGCCATTTTTAGACAATTTAGTTCCTTTTAAGAGGAAATGCCACATAAACAATTCATGTCACTCTCCTGCCTTGCTTGCCCCTGACTAACTGTCAGGTTTTTTAATAAAGCATTCCAGCTGCCTGATAAATGTCTAGATGGCAGTTGACAAGATTTTTAATGAATAACCCTTTGAGGATCAGATACAAAGCAGGGTGTGAGACAATTAGGAAAGCGCTCTGCACGGTCCCAACTCATCACAGATCCAAATTCAACCCAGTCCAGCACCATCTCCAGACAGATATTTCAGAAGGAAACCTCCTAAGCTGGCCACACTGAAAGAGCCAGTACTGTAATTAAAGGAAAACAGCTTGTTCGAAGTTAGGAGGTACCATCACCCCATATTTGGCAGTGAACCCCTGTAAATTCATTATGTATGGTATAATCCCTCCTTCATTTGCTTTACACCTAGTTGCACACTAGGCCAAAAGCCCCACCCCTTTCCTCCTTCTTCAGCCTCTTCAAATCTGAAACAAACATTTGCTTAAGCAGTAGTATCAAAAAATTACCAATGCCAATGGCTTACCAAGGATTTCCACTAGCCTGTTTTGCCAATAGCAACCTTTTCTCCTCTTCAGAGAACTGGAGATCCAACTCAAAGGAATTATTGTCAAGGTCATGGATATATTGCTCTATGTTGTTGCCTGAGGTCTGCAGGGGACACGTCTCTGGGGAAGACAGCGACTGAGAAGAGGCCGAGCCGGAAACTTGCATGCAGACAAACTGACTCAGGAGATTGTCATACTACAAAACACACAGTCCTGTTTTCATTTACGTGAAAAACCATTTGACACCTTGCCTTTTATCCCTCCACTACTAATACACAGAGATTCGGGGAGATGCAGATAGCTTACAAGGCCAACTGGAAGAATTCTACATCCAACTAAGTAGCCCAGCCCAGTAATACATTAACTGCATAGGTGAAACCCCTCCAGTGGAATTTTCTGGACTGGGAGTGGAATTGGGCCTATTTTCCTCTTGAGGGATGCAAAGTTATAGCAAAGCCCTTTACTGTAGGGTGAAGGACTGAGTTAAGCACTCCTATAGAGGCAAAGGTGCCTTCTTGGTTGAGACTTCAGGGCAGATGAGAAGAATGGGTTCACATGTGTAACTCAGGGATCAGCAGGGGCATGTGGGAGAAAGCTGCTTCCCACCTGCCCATTACTTCCACTTTCAGTTAAAAAGCTAGAATTACCCTTTGGGGTCTTTAATCTCTTCTGAAGTCAAAGTCCAGCATCTGTATCAATGTTGGTACTTACATTTCCATAGCAATCCTCATCATCTTCTGACATGGCAGGCAAATATGCTGTGAGCTTGGGTGGAGTTTGATGATGCAGATTCTCCCAGGTAATGGAATCAAAAAATGAATGAGCCTTCAAGGGTTGATACCCTCCCATTTCTTCACAGCCTAACCGCTTGGTAGCATCTAAAACCTGATTTAGACACAATTAAATTTCTCTTACAACCCTGAGGAATCATTTCAAGAAACCTTTCAGACTAGGGACAGAGGCCAACTTCCAGCTTCCTAAGCTTTTTCCAGATGGCTCCCCTCTGGAAAATCCAGCAGGATGCTGATTTTCTTGCAAACTGGACTAGGTTCCCAGGCACATGTAATGTGACTACTATGGTGTATGGGCATCTAAGTAATCTGAAAAGGGATGATCATGTTCTTCCCTTCTTCCAGCCTGCTGTGCCTACAAGGGCAACAGGAAGAGTCCAGTCCTTGCAGGATGCATTCTGTTTGGAAGCTTCTAGGGCACATGGTGCATGCAGATGTCACTGAGAAATATCAGACTTCTGGGCAGAGCAGGCTCCTTGGGGAAGGTTTAGGGTTGTTTTGCCAAGCCAAGGGTATTCTGGCAGAGGAACGGGTGTTCCACCCCCTTCACAATGGCAAAGTAGTAAAGAATGGGTTCGGGCACATATGCCCAAAGGTAGGAACCAAGTGGGGGCACTTGGCTGGCAGATGATGTCCTCTACAGTGGTGGGCACTTCCCGTCTGTCTCCTGCACAAACAGCTTTGTATGGTTCTGGGTGGCTGATGGTCGGAACAGCTGAGGAAATGGCATACAGTCAGTCCCAGGGTTACAAACTAACTGCCATAAAGTCAATTTAAACATTCAAGTCAAAAGCCTACTGCAGGAAATTGTCATCACCACAAAGAGAGAGAGGAAGTGGCTTCCCATTCCCATTCACTGGCTTCCCATTGAAGCCGGGGCCCAATTTAAGGTGCTGGTATTGAACTATAAAGCCCTAAACAGCTTGGGACCAGATACCTAAAGCAACGTCCTTCTCCCTACATGCCCTCCCGCCCTTTAAGATCTGCAACAGAGGGCCTGCTCCGGGAACCCTCCTTGAAGGAGGTTAGGGGAGAATATACTCAGAGGAGGGCCTTCTCTGTGGTGGTGCTCCAGCTATGCAATGGGGTCCCCAGAGATACGACTGGCACCAACGTTATATGCTTTTCCATGCCAGGTCAAGATCTTTTTATTTTCCTGTAATTTCAATTTGTTATTGTTAGTTGTGAAGTCGTGTCCGACCCATCGCGACCCCACGGACAACATTCCTCCAGGCCTTCCTGCCCTCCACCATCCCCCAGAGTTCACTTAAGCTCATACCAACTTGCTTCAGTGACTCCATCCAGCCACCTCATTCTCTGCCGCCCCTTCTTCTTTTGCCATCTATTGTTCTCAGCGTTAGGCTCTTCTCCAGGGAGTCATTCCTTCTCATTACGTGGCCAAAGTATTTGAGTTTCATCTTCACTATCTGGCCTTCTAAAGAGCAGTCAGGGTTGATCTACTCTAGGACTGACCAGTTTGATCACCTTGTGGTCCAAGGGACTCGCAGGAGTCTCCTCCAGCACCACAATTCAAAGGCCTCAATCCTTCTGCACTCAGTCTTCCTGATGGTCCAGCTTTCACAGCCATACATTGCAACTGGGAAAACCATAGCCTTGACTATACACACTTTTGTCATCAGGGTGATGTCTCTGCTTTTTAGTATGCTGTCTAGATTTGCCATAGCTTTCCTCCCCAGGAGTAATTTCAATGTTTAAATATTTTAACTATGTTTTATGCTCAGTCTTGGATTATTATGGGTCTATATGTATTTATTGGGTGTTCGATTTGTAAGCTGTCCAGAGACACGCAGTGTAATTAGACGGGATAAAAATACCCTAAATAAATAAATAAGTGGAAGGAGAGAGATGGAGGCCTCTAAAGCATCACCATAGAGAGAGGGAAGCAAAAGGGAGAGAGGGGGCCTCCAAAGCATGTCTTTCTGCCCTGCCCATCCAGAAAGAGAACTTTCTCCCACATTTCCTTGCTGCAAACAGGTGGCACAAGTGAGTTTGGGCTGGGAAGGGGGGAGTCGATATTCCTAACTTTTTCACTTTCATGGGGGCCCTGCAACCCTAACCTGAATGAATGTGGAGGTCCAACTATACATGGCTAGGCCTCCGCATTCAACTTTGATGAAAAAGATGAATTTTCATTTTCTCAGGAACTCATTTGTAACCTAGGGCCTGCCTGTACCCTTACTCTAGAAAGGCAGGGGAGTCATGGCAGTCTGTGTTCCTGGACATGCCCACTTCCATTTACAACAAGTCATGTGCTCCTAGCTAGAGCCAAGGAAAGGGGTGTAGGAAAGTGCCTGCTCGTGAAGCCGTTTTAGGCCTTTTAAGATCTGTGTCCACATCAGCCTTTATTGTCTGTTAACAGCAGCTGGAGAACCATGAAGAGTGAGAAAAATCCCTCTGCTGTCATGAGTGCAGCTTATTCCAAGTGTTGTGGCTCCCTCCATTTTTGTCCTCTAGCATTGGTGAGGTGCAGATCTGGGATGGTCTCCCAACAGAGACCTTAACCCTGCTGCCCAAAACTCCTCCAGAGGAGCATAGGAAGCTGCCTTGCACTGAGTCAGACCTCGGCTCCTCGAGGCCAGTGTTGATGGCACTGAGCTGCAGCGGCACTCTCCATTTTCTTCCCCTTTCACTGTACCTAGAGATGCCAGGGATCAAACCAGCAACTTTCTGCACAGAACCCTCCTTCCTGTGCTCTAGGCCCCACTCAGCTGCTTCTTCCAACCAGTTGCTGGGGGTGACTTGGTTCATAGTCCCACCCGATAAACAGTCATGGCTGTGTGACAAATGCTTTCACCAGAATAAAATGCAATGATGTGACTACTTCTTCCCCTGGCTAATCCGGGACACAGGAAATAAGGGAGAAAGATCAGCCTTGGATCCCACAAGGGCAAGAGCTCAACTCCTGCCTGAAGAGGAGTCTTCCTTTCACAAGACTGGACTAGGCATGAAGTCAGCCCACTCAGCACTGCTGCTGCTCGGGGAAGAACAGGAGTTGAGAATGCTGCAATTTACCACTGACATGTAGGCTGACAATGTACAGAATTCTGCTTGCAGCAGTGAAGCATCAGACAAACATACCAACTGCTCTGAGAACAAAGCAATTAGAATGCTCTGTGAGGAAAAGAAAAAAGGGTCATCAGTTTGGCTGGAAATTCATTTTTCAATACAGAATACAGGCAGGAGTATCTTTGTGGGGCAGACTGAAAAGAGGTAGGGAAGTCAAAGCCAAAGCCTAGTTGGAAGTTGGCTGCAGAAAAGGCACGACTGATCTGAAGGACTGTGGAAGAGTGAGAAGGGAGAATTGCTGCAAGAAGGAAGCACTTGGAATGAAAGCACTGAAGCAAACTAAGGGCCAAATACTGAGGAAGGCTATGGCACCAAATTCCACATATCATGCAACACGAGTGCTACCTGAGTGGAGGCTTCTGGTATTCAATTAGGACTTTGACAATAAATAAAATTCATTTGACAATAAATAATATTCATTTACCAAAAGCTTTTCTACAAGATCTTTTGCCTTAGGAAAGAACTTCTCGGGGAATTCATACTCCAATCTGATTATCTTTTGAAAAATAAGATATTCATTTCTGCAAAAAAAGAAAGTAAGTCACATCTACGCAAACATCAGTACGTGCAGCCTGAGGTTAGAATCATAGCATTTGAATAGGCCACTGAGTCTAATGTCCTGCTCAGTGCAGGAATCCAGTTTAAAACATCCCTAACAGATGGCTGTCTCTGCTTCACCTCCATCAATGGGCAATTAGCCTTCTTGCTAAGCCCATTATTTTGTAACTTACAGACTTAGATTACAAACAGTAGGCTGTGGACCCTTTCTGTGACAATGACTGAAATACTTCATATTTCATATCATATCCACCCTCAGTCTTCTCTTCTCAAGGCTAAGCTTGCCCAGTTTCTTCCTTCTTTCCTTGCAGGATGGAAGTGTTAGTCCCCAATCATCTCTGTTGTCTTTCTACTTATTTATAGAAACAATTTTATTTATTATTTATTTATTTAAAACTTTTATATGCCGTCACCACATGCCTCAAATACAAATCCCTCTGGTACCCAGAATGAGACAAAACATTCAAGGTGAGCTATGAGCAGTGCAGTGTAGAGCAGAATAAATATATCCCATGATTTAGAAACTTTATTTCTACTGATGCATCCTAAAATTGCATTTTCCTCTTTGGCAGCTGTACCACTGTGCTGGCTCATGTGCAGCTTCTGACTAAAGCTCCAAGATCCACTTCACATGTATTGTTGTCAAACCAGGCAGTCCCCTATCTTATACTTGTGCATTTGAGTTTTTTAAAAAGAAGTTTGCATTTGTCTTGGTAAAATGCCATTCTGAAATTTTCTGATGCCATTCTCCATTACTTTTGCTCATTTGCCTATTTCTTGCTCAGCATCTCTCCTTCAACGTTGGCCTCACTGTCCCATTCAGGCCAGAGAGACATGGGAATGGCAATAATGGAGTGTTATAAGGTGTCCTCAGGAGACAGAAGTGCTCAGGGTTCACCCCACCCTACTTTTACATCAAGACAAAAGGTTGCTAGTGGATCAGAGATTGTAAACTGCCAAGTATGTTCCTCAGTCCACTTACTTATGAACTGTTCACTGCAGCAAATATCTACAAACTAAGAATTTGGTGTAGTCAAAAGACTTACCCAGCTCTGAATGGTGGTAACCCCGCTACAAGCTGGTATATGATGCAGCCAAGAGCCCAGAGATCAGAACTTCATCATCAGTCAGACAAAAGGAGGAAATAAAACACAAAAGTTAGCCTGGCACAGGTCCCTTGCTGTGCATCCAACTTCAACCAGTCCAGGCACCAGTAACAAAAGCCACATACAGAGAATGTTCCATTTCAGCCTAGCTGCAAACTCGCAAAAGGTCTCAGGCTCTAACAGATATGGCATGTCCTGCAAAGCATTCTCAAAGGAATGAGACAATGAGGACACCCAAGGAGTTTATAGAAGTGTCTGCTTCTGAAACAGATCCACCCCTTTCTTCATCTTGTGAGGGTTCCAAAGGAAGAATGGAAACAGTGCAAGACAAGCTTCAGTAAAACCCCAATGATATTGAGAGGCTTAAACAGAGCAACTGCACAGTTAAAGTTTTTGCCATTTTAAAAGAAATGGGTGGCCTGCAGTGAGCTCTCCTCTTTAAGAAAGTAGCAAGTTAAAGCAAGTTTTTGCTTGTAACACTGAATTTTAGTATTCATATTTTATTTTTATCCGCTAATTATTTACTTTGGGTTTTGAAATTTTACATCATTGATATTTTATTGATTGAAAAGCATTTTACTTAAAATAGTAGTATATAAAATTAAATTACAAATAAAGAGCACTAACTTCCAGTAATGTATCTATGTGAAAGGCATCTGCCTGGGCACAACTAGCTTTTGTTGGTTTGCTATGTTTAACAAGTGAAGCCCAACTGCTTGTGAGCTCTCAACATATCAGATAAGCTAATGGAGAAAACAAATCCTAAGTGCTGTTTTCATATGTGGAACAAAAAATGGTTTAACATTTTCAGTGGTGATTATGCAAGAGATATTGTAGAGAGCTTTGTGCATGAGACACTGCAGATGTCTTATCAACACATCTCACCTTTTGCAGGCAGACTTCTCCGTTAACAGCTCTGGAGATACATACTGTGCTGTTCCAACAAAGGAATTTGCCCGTGCTGAAAGAATAGAGAGGTAACTAAGCCTGTGGGTCATTAAAAATAGGGTTGCATCGTTCTTATTCAGATTTTTAAGACTGCTTGAAAACAGTATACTGGTTTTGACTGTTCAATTCAAATTCCATCAACCTTAATTAGCCATTTTTGTAAACATCAGACATTATAATGACTGCTGTTTGACAAGTACCCCTCCACCAACCCAACATATGACTCCTATTTCAATGTATCTGTAGTCCCACAGGCCGTACTCCAAGCACTCTGGCCTGATTTGAACTGTCCCATTTTAGTAAACCCACAGACTAGAAAAGGCTTCCATGCCACTGCATGTCATTTCCAGCAGTAAAGAATAACAGTCTAAGCTTTACTTAGCAAAGATTTAGAAAACAGTTGACAAATCCAGTTAAGAATTATCATCCAACACCATAACTAGCTTTAAGTAACTTGCCACCACATAAATTCTGTGATGTCCATGGCATAAAACACACCTTGATTGGTATCTGCAGACAATATTTTTGCTGTCCCAAAGTCTGTAATCTGAATGTGCATGTCTCCATTTAGCAAGATGTTCTCTGGCTTAAGGTCCCTGTAAAAAGTACAGTAAATATAGACCAGACCCGCACAACTCAACAGCCAAAGAACAGCTGCACTGTCCCCACTCCACCCCCATTTTGTTCCCCCTGGAAAACTCTGTATTGCCAGCCTTGAGAGACTTGTGGAAGACCTGCTTTTGAGTGACAACAGCATCCTAAGCAATGAGCATGCATTATGTTGGGGAAGAGCAAGTAAGAGCCAGCCAGAGTAGGTTAAAGGAGTCTGAGTGAGGATGAGTGAAGAAAATCAGACTCCAGAAATAGAAAATTAAGGAATCAGTAATTGACCCCAGTAGTTTCTTTTTATAATCCCCATGTACTGATAGCCATTACTTCTTCTGTGAGGCTTGTACAGCTCTGCTTATGGTGACTCCGTCCATACCACTGGTTAGACTGGCTATGAGCCTGCACGGGCACCACGGGCTCCTCCCAGTCAGCATGATCATTCTGATGCGGTCCAAGCAAGATGGGAAAGAGTTGTGCTGCCATGTGCCCCATGCACCTAGCCCCACATCAGGAGAGGAAATAGAAGATTAGCTGCATCGTTCCTCCTCTCCTTGAATTCAGAGGCACAGTGTGGAGCTGGCACATGTATTCCAGCCACACTGCACTTCGAAAGCTTGCCTGGCTATGGGAATTTCTGGGAAAATGAAAGGCTTCTGTGCTTCTGCATCTGTCAAACTGCAGGGGAAGAGATGTATGGGACGAACACGCAAAAGGAAAGGGGCAAAAGAAGAAAAGTCAAAGAGAGAAGGTAGAAGAAAGAAAGAGAGAGGTAACAGCAAAGAGTGTCCTACGTAAGAGGAAGAAAAAAGGGGGGGGGAGAATGAGAAAAAGTAAAGAGCATCATGCAGAAGAAATACAGAAGGGGGAGTTAACACTATCTGTTGACAGGGACTTGCAGTGGGTGCAGAGATAAAGAGGGAAATGGCTTAAGAGAACACCACATTCAGTGTGGGAAAACACTGCCCTCTTCTTTTGATCAAGTAGTGAACTGTGTGTTTAAACATGCTATCTCAAATGGTAATACAATGTAGTTCAGGCCAGAGAGATCTCTGTGGCAACAAGGATGAACCAAGACAATACAAACTCAATTTTTCCAATTGGGCTCATACTCCATAACTGCCATTCGTACAGGTAAGCAGAATAAAGCCAAGTCTTCCTGGGGACTGATCGATCAATCGATCGATCCCTTCCTTCCTTCCTTCAAGATATTTGTATGCCGCCCTTTGCAAGAGCCTCAGGACAGCTTACACAAATAAAATACAATACTTGTTCTCCCTTGTGCTGTGGGTAGGCACAGAAGGGGAAGAGGAACTAAACCTTTCTGTTGAGGTTCCAGCAAGTTGGAACTCTTCCTCCTGCACAAAGCAAGAGCAGAACTGGAGAAAACAGTTCCACTACTTTTGCTGCACTCTGTTAATTGCATTTGTACTCCAGCTCAACCAATGCTCTTGTATCAAATGGAACCGAGATTCAGGGCAAGTGTAACAAACAGATGGAAGCAAAGAAGCCAATGCAGGTTTCCAGTCTTTCCAAAAACATGTAGAGCTCCTACCTTACTGAAACCCACCTCCAAAGTGTTGACTGCAAAACTAAGGTATCACAAGTGAAGAACAGAGTAAGGTGCATCATGGCATCAAAAGAGGAAAGTAGCAAGCCTCAGCATTCACCATAATGAAAATCTCACCAACTTCTTGTAATTTTTTTCCAAGGTTTTTCTGCTGGGAAACCTTGGAGCTTTGAATCATCTGAAGAAACCCATTGGGGACCAACAATAGGAAACTAAGAGATTTTTTTTTTAAATCCAATTAATTACAGTACCTGTGAATAATTCCCTTTCCGTGCAAGTATTCTAATGCAGCCACAATTTCAGCAGTATAAAACCTCGTGCATGTCTCATCAAATGAGCCAATCTTGCGAATGTATTTTAGAAGCTCTCCGTTTTTGGCATAGCTAAGGCCAAAATCTGGATGCAAAGGTTAAGAATACTTTCTGCATAGTGTAACACAAACACATGTGAGGAAACGTTAAAGTGCTGAAACACAATAGCACTGTTTTATAACAGTTAGCTTAGACCACAACAGCACTTACAAAATGCAACTTTTTACAAACCCTAGTAAACTAAGTTCAGTTATCATGAAAATAGAAACAAAGAAACAGCGCGAGTCAGAAGTGGCCTCCCGGGCCATCTAGTCTGACCCCCGGCTCTAGCCAGCTCTGCTCACAACATGCTGACCCAAAATATCATTGGGTCATTGAGTTAGCACATTAAAAAACACACAACTCAATTTTTGCCCACATTTCTTGTTCTAGCACATGTTGCAATGAAACATTTCCACCCAAAAGGATACAGAGCTTTTCATCATCCTGAAATGTGAAGTAGAGTTTAACAAAGAAGGGATGATCCAGGCGGGAAATGACATCTCTCTCTCGTGACACATAGGGCACCTTGTTCTCCTTTATGATGTGACGCTTCTCCAGAATTTTAACTTTTAAAAGAACAAATAAGTTACCTAACTGGAGACTAAAAAATGTTGCAAACCCACCTGTTTGGCTAAGAAGCTGTCCACATATCAGCCACACACAGCAGCTTCCTGACAGAACAAGAGTTCTGAACTGACAGTTCCTCTGGCTCCACCAGGAACACAACAGGAGACCTATCTAGAATCCACACCCAATAAAGAAAGTGTTACTCACTGGCATACTCTCTGGAGGTAGTCAATTCTCTGGCCAAGACGACCTGTTTAAGAGGAAGTTTACAGTTTGAGCTTCACAAAGGGAGGGTAAACATCCTCTCAACCCATGAAGAAAGCACAGGTACCAGTCACCATATTCTTGTATTAGTCCCTGGCCAGCAGAGCAGACAAGTCAGGGAGACTTAACAATGCCTCCCTAACAAGAATGCAATGGCACAGCGGGGACCCTCACATGGGAAAGCACAAAAGCAGCAAAGTGAGGAAGGAGAAAGGAGGGCCATTCATTTGGCCCCAGCCTCAGGCCTGAAGAAGCTACTGCTCCCGCCACCACAGCGTTCCGCTCAGCCCCACTGGACAGGCTGGCTGGCCCCACATGCACTCACAGTGCTCCCCACGGTAGGAGGAGACCTAAGGAGACTTCAGAGAATTTATGTTGTGATGAACCTGTGGGAAAACGGCAACGAGCATTAGCATGCCAAAGAAATGCGTTGAAAAGTCAGTTGAATGAGAACAGAGGGAAGGTGGTACTTTTTCACAAAAACATCTTATCTGCAGAGGCCAAAACAAGATGAAAAGCACCACCGCAATCAGTCAAGAAGAATGTAATTATCGAGCCTCCTAAACTGAACCAGATGGAACCTTCGCCTCTGACAATGAGAGAGCAAGGCTGGTAGGCAAAGTCCTTTCAGTGAAGCAAGCTCAGCATGGCAGTGGAAGCAACAGGGGCATTACTGGTTAGCATTACTGGTGCACATTGGCTGGTTGGCTGCCTTGCAACCCTCTCGGGCACCCAGAAGTTGCTGTGAATACTCACGGTTGAGAAAGATCCTTCACCCAGAATCTTCCCAAACTGAAAGTCCTCAGGGCGTTTCTTTCGAGGTTGAGGAGGTTGTGGTAAAGAGTTTGCATTTGCCCTTGATGCAGCTGTGGTGCTTTCCATGTTCAGTCCCTGCCTGCTGCCAAACGTGGCTGAAACAGGTGAAGAGCTGGAGTCTGCCTGGTTCCTCACCATGGATGGAGATGGGCAGGAACATAAAACCACGCTGGGCTGGATTGGAACAGCATCGTACTGAAGAGAAGAGGAAGTGTGCATAGTAGTGCAGTGTTCAATCAATCTGTCACTTACCTCTGTACAAGACAGGAGTGTGCTGGACCACAGAGTCTTCTCAAGAATGCCGGAGGCACCCTGAGATCATCCACATGCAGGCCACATTGCAGCCTCCTGCTATGGCCCCCTGATCAAGTATGTGTGCCATACATGATATTTCACACAACCTCACTGAGTCAGGGCTCCACACGTCATTTTAGTAAAGAAAAACTGGGATTTACAATAAAACGCTGCCATGTATCCTCCCTCTTCCGATGCGTGATTCTGCTCAGGATTGTAGCCAGCCATTCCATTTTCCTGACATTCCACAAATACTGGAAATGCTGCCTACACGCAGCTCTTAGGGGGTTGGGAAGAAACCACGCTTTTGCAAACTTTGGGGTTTCTCAGCAGACTCACTTTGACTCCAATCCTGTAAGCATTTGCCATTTATGTTCAGTATTAAAAGGCCTAAGAGCACCCTCACGACTTGACTAAATCAGCAGAGGTGCTGTGGCACAACTGGACAGCATACAAATGTTTTAAATAAACTAAAAAAAAAAAAAAACAAATTGCAGAGTGCTAGGCAGGCCTGTGTCCAAGATACTGAGCTACTGCAACTAGAGCAGATGGAAAGACAAGCAGAAGCAGCACGGCTTGTGGGGGGAGGGTTCAAGTTCAGAAGTGGAAAATAGGAACCACCAAATTCCAGCTCTCCACTCATATTCAAGGTTTAACAGGATGTCACCACACATGGGGTTGTCAAATGTAGCAGAGGAAAACAAAGTGGACAGCCTGCAGTCCTTTGCTATGAACTGGATGACTGATCCAGTAGTTTGGCTTGGCTTGATCTACAGCATGGGTCCTCAAACTACAGCCTGGGGGCCAGATCTGGCCCGCCATGCCCATTTGGACCCACCACACGTGCACCCACCACCACCCACCTCGCCCCACATGCAGAGAGACAGTGGCTTGCTCGCTCGGAGAAAATGATCACCAAGTGAGCCAGCTGCTGCCTCATGTGCCTGCTTCGTAGCAGGTGCCCGCCCCCACCTGCGCCTCACCTCCCCTCGCCGCGTGCCCATGCCTCGCCTCACCTTGCCTCGCCACACACCCCGCCCTGCACTAGCCCGCGCGCACCCCCAGCACCACCTTTCTGACCTGCGCCCAGCACCAGCAGCTTCCAACTGGCCCCCTGGTGGAAAAGTTTGAGGACCCCGATCTACAGTGCAGAAGCAGGCCAGTCAATTTTTGTTGTTGTTCAGCCACAAAGTCATGCCCAACTCTTTGCGACCCCATGGACAACATTCCTCCAGGTTCACCTGTCCTCCACCATCCACTGGAATACACCCATGCCCACATCCACCTCCCCAGTGACCCCATTCAGCCACCTCAACCTCTGCCATCCCCATATCCTTTTGCCTTCAATCGTTCCCAGCATCAGGGTCTTTTCCAATGAGTCCTTCCTTCTCATTAGGTGGCCAAAGTATTTGAGCTTCAGCTTTAGTGCCTGACCTTCTAAAGAGCAGTAAGAGTTGATTTCCGTTAGCATTGACTGATTTGATTTCTTTGCAGTCTTCTCCAACACCACAATTCAAAAGCATCAATTCTTTGGCACTTAGCCTTCCTTACGGTCCAACTCTCACAGCCATACATTACAACTGGGAAAACCACAGCTTTGGCTATATGAATCTTTGTCACCTCTGCTTTTTAGTATGCTGTCTAGATTTGCCATTGCTTTCCTCCAAGGAGCAAGCAACTTTTAATCTCTTGGCTGCAGACACCATCTGCAGTGATCTTGGACCCCAAGAAAATAAAATCTGTCACTACCTCCATTTCTTCCCCATATATTTTCTAGGAAGTGATAGATGCCATGATCTTAGTTTTCTTAATGTTGAGTTTCAAGCCAACTTTAGCACTCTCCTCTTTCACTCTCATTAAGAGCCTCAATTTATTGGCCCTCATCTGGCCCATCACAACAGTCAGACACCAGTTAAGGACAGTCACTGCCTCACAAGCATACATGTAGTGGGCCTGACTTGAACAGGCACTTTGTCCACATCCTTAGGTCTCAATAACTGGGACTCATGCAACAAAACTGGACCAGATGGTGCTCCAAATACTTCTATTAATGGAATTGTATTAATTGTGATATCCAGTTCATGAAGAGTCCACATGACTTTATCTTCAAAGTGCTGTGCAAATTCATCACAGCAAGCTACCGAGGGTTCCACAGTTTCTTTCTCTGGCCCAGATTGTAAAAGGCCATAAATCACTCAGAAGAGCTCTGCTGGATGGCACTGAGAAGGCACAATGGTGGAGGAAAAGAACTGCCTCTTTGCCACTGTGTTCAACTGGACTTAACACAAGTTTTCCTCCACCTACACTCCCCTCCTGCTTCACCGCCCTCAACACAGGGATGTACCAAGGAGCCGGCCAGGCTTTGCTCAAAGGAAGAAGGCACTTCGTTGTGATTTTGTCAACCACCCGAGTCACCTCCGTATTCCACAGAGTAACTTGGGCTTTGATAGGAGCACTGGCCATACTAGCTGGAAACTCCCAGAGCCATCAGGATCCACAGGAGGACAATTTCAGAAGGCCCCTCACCCCTGCAGAGAGGAAAAGGGACTGAAAGTCTAACCTTCAAAAAGAAGAGATCTGACCATGATAACAGAGTTAATACTAATTCCCTCACTTTTAGATCACTGTCCTCCTGCCCAGTCCAGAAGACCAGATCAAGCATGTCTCTGTGAGGTTCTGAGGCAGCATCAGGGCTCCATCTTCTGGCCAGAGACCAGAATAGCAGCTCTGGTGGTCACAGGACTGGGCCCACTGTCAACTGTGACTACCTGGACTGTTACAAGAACCACCTGAGAGCTCTGAGGGAAGAGCTATATAAGAACTGACTCTTCCTGCCAGATGCTGCCTCAGCAATGAAGGTTTTTGATGTTATTGGAGTGCTCTGTGTCTTCTAGAACTTGTTTCTGGAAACTCTGCCCGTCACCTTGCTCCTGTTCCTAGTTCTGGACCCTGCCTGGCTTCCTGGTCTTCACCTCTCCACCTCCTGCTCCAGTCCCAGGTACCAGCTTCTCTCTCTGACTCCTAACTGGGTTTGACTACTCTTCGCAATTTGGACTGACTCACCTTGTATGACTCTTTTACCAGCCTTGACCTCTGGACTGCTTGACTACGATTTGGAATAGGCCCTTGTAGTGTACCTGTTGTCTGGGTCCTGGTGCCCTGATCTGATATCCTGCTGCCCATGCCCCAGATGCTGACAGTCTTTTACATGTTAGGTCGATAACATGTTCAGACAGCCCCATGATTTGAGACAGGTTTGAGACAGCCATGAAGTCCTGAATAACGCAGCCTCAGCATGGAAGTCCAAATCCCCCTGAACCATCAGCCAGGGTGTCCTCAACACCAAGTCCACAACCACCTCCATCAGCTCAGGCAGGGAGTCTGATAGGCAGTGGGATGGGCGGTACACCAGCAGAATCCCTAATCTGTCTCAAACACCCAACACAAGACACACACACTCAAGACCCACACTCAAATGAGTAGGAAGCCTAGAGAGGGAGATCATATTTCTATAGACCACAGTCATCTGCCCTCCCTAACCCTCAAGCAGGAATTTCAGCCATTTTCCTTCCCCTCTGAAGTGTTTCAACTGGGTAGCCATCTAGCAGAAATGCAGTGCAGGAGAGACAGGGGCTTTTCTTCCACTTTAGACCTATTGGGTGCTTCAAAGTTCCATCCCATCGCCAATACTTTCATCTACATGAAGTTTCACCAATCTGAGACTGCTGGAAAAGCCATCAGAAAGGATGGGCAGAAGTGACATCAAGATGTAGACATCATTTCTTATTTCTTTCTACATATCCTGGACCTGGTTATCTAAAGGAGTGCCTGCATCCATACTTGCCCTCCCACCCCCTAAGATCAGCGGCAGTGGCCCTTCTCCGGGAACCCTCCATGAAAGATATTAGGAGGGTGAGTAGCCGGAGGAGGGCCTTCTCTGCAGTGGCACCCCACTTATGGAATGCGCTCCCCAGAGAGGTCTGCCTGGCGCCGTTGTTATTTGTTTGTTGGCGCCAGGTCAAGACCTTTTTATTTAAACGTTATTTTAATTAATTGTAAATTTATTTATTGGTTTCAATTTATTGCCTGGATGTTTCCAGTTTTTATATATTTGTATTGTTATTTATTTGCTGGAAGCCGCCCTGAGGCTTACGCAAATGGGGCGGCACACAAGCATCCCAAGTAAGTAAATAAATAAATAACACCCCCCCCCCCCGGAAGGCTATAGCATTCTCGAGCTAGTGTCTGGAAGATGTTTTGGTGTGACTGGGAGTGAACATGCTGAAACTTGATCCAGACAGCTAGATGAAGGTTTACAACTTCTCTTAGATAGGACAGCGTTAAAAGTGCATACACAGGGAATTCTTCCGGACTCGTATTAACTGGGGAGGTCTAGATAGATACAAGCGTCTGGCAGTGCATTTTAACAGCTTAGGACATTACACTGGATGCAGCACTACCTGGACCATGCATCATACGTGATCTGTACAGTGGATCACTGTAAAGCATTCAAGGGGCCGCCACTGAAGATGGTGTGGAAACTTCAGCTAGTGCAGAATGCAGTTGCCAAAGTGTTGGTGGGGGCAAGTCAATGTGATCACATAACACCTTCGCTGTGACAGCTGCAGAAGCAGAAGCTACAGGTATGTTTCCAAGTTCAATCTGAAGTGTTGGAATAAACCTTTAAACACCTTAGGGCTTTAAACACTTTAAACACTTTAGGACAGAATTACCTGGAGGACTTTCTTTACCCTTATCAGCCCTGCCATCCCGCACTTCAAGAACAGCAAGAAAGGCTGATAATGGTGAAATGCAAGCCCATCTGTAAAGGCAATTAGGAGGGTGACTACAATGGGCTTTTCCACAGTGGCCCCACTTCTCTGAAATAACTTGCAACCAGGAGTCTTCCAGACGCTGTATTAAGTCCTTCCCGCAATTATATTTCCAGCAAACTGGGTTGTAGCTGCAGCTGCACATGGCAGGCTTTGGTTTTATGCTGATGTTTGTTGTTCAAGGTATTTGCTGCTGTTGCTCTTTTTACTTTCATGATTATGCTATCAGCTTTTATTATGTGAGTTTTATTGCTGTATGCCACCTTGGGAGGACTGTTGCCCTGAAATGCAGCCAAGAAATATTTTAAATAAGTCAAACAAATTGATTTTGTTATTTCAAGTTGCTGCTGCATTTGAAGTGACTAAGATTTGTGCAGGAAGAAGGTGAATTAGCAAGAACTTGTGTGGGTTAATTCTTCTTGCATGACCTGCAAGGCCATGGGTCCAATAGGAGACACACCAGCCACTCTAGGCCCCGGTGCCGCCCTGTATTGTGTTCATAAGCAGCCCTCCTGCAAAATTGATGCTGTAATTTGGGGAAGATGACCTCTTAGTTGTGCCCCTGCTTGCTGCCTTCCAATGTTCAAAAAATCAAAGGAACTATTCCAGGTTCAGATTGTACATTGACTCCTGGGAGAAAAGACTAAAAACCTTTCTAGATTTTATGCCCTCATGGCCAGAAAATCCACAGGACATGACAGAGGTTTAAGCAATCTTTCACACATATGTATACACATGTGCCATATACTGCAGGCAAACCCACTTCTCAGCTCTTCTTGATCAAATGCAGGGCATGCTCCAGAGGTGGGCCTTGAACACATGTAGCAGCAAAGCTATGAAGGTAACCTTAGCCCAGAAGACCAAAACCTGCAAAAACAACAAAGGGCTTGCAAAATCTTAAGAGACCAATGAATTCATTCTGACATAAGCTTTCATGACCTATAATCCAC